TTCTTTTCTTTTTTTTCTTTTTCTTTTTTTTTCTTTTCTTTTGCACACTTTCAGATTTTTCCTCCTTCTTTGTCTTGTCTGTTTTTTAATTGCACTTGTCGTCGCTCATCGTCACTTGTGCCTTAATGGTGTTATCTCTTGTTACTAGTCGCTTAATGGGAAGGGTTGGGGACCGCACCGCACTCAACAGCTCCCCTCTGGGCCTAGCGCGGTGAACGCCAAACCGGCATTTCCCCTGCGCCTTCGCCCCTCCGTTTCTGCTTTCCCTTTTTCATCAGCCTCCCCCCGAGCCCCAACCCGCCAAACGACGAATGAAGCCATTTTTTTTTACTATTTTGTTTTTTTTTTCCTCCACTCACCCGAAAAAGTGGGGAGGGGGGTAAAGCAAGAAGAGAAAGAGAAACAAAAAACAGAAACAAAAAAGGAATAAGGGAGAAGGAAGAAGGAAGAAGACAGAGAGATGTGCTTGCCCACCGTCCCCTTGTTGTTGTTGTTTCATGTATTACTCGATGCGTCTACTGGGCTCCGCTCCGCTCCCCAGTGTCTTCTTCAGTAGTACCACCTTTACCTTCTGTCGCGTTTGCCGTTCACCTTCACCTTTCCTGTGAAGAGGTGCTTCGGGCGGAGGTTTGGCGTGTCGCGGTCACCCTCGCCCTTCTTGCCCTGTCGGTTGCGGGAGCGTGACTTCACCTTACTCAGCTTCACCGCACGGAGTTTTTGGTTGATGTCCCTGAAGCCCTCCCCTCGGCTCACGCTCAGGGAACGCTCACGGCTTGCGGAGCGAGAGCTAATGCTACGCGTGGTTTTCGTAGACACATGCGTCGAGCCCGAACGGTCACGCATGATTGCTTCCTGTGCAACCGACATTGAGCGACCGCGCTTTCTGCCGGCAGTCGTAGCCGGAGCCGCGGGTGTCGCGGAGCGGGCGTCTTGACTACCGGTGCGCCCGTTGAACCTGTTAATCGCATCCGACTGCTGCTTGGTGCGACGAATGGCAGGGTTCTTCATCGCCTTCTCCATCTTCAGCACCTTAACCTTGTCCTTGATGAAGCGCACGGCTTCCAGCGTGGCGTCGTCCAGCTCGTACTGGGGGCGCCTCCTTGAGGCCTCCATCTCCAACTCCTGCAACCGCGCATCCTCCTCCGCCTCCAACTCCAGCAGTCGCTCGTGGATGTCTGGGTCAATGTTGTCGTAGATGTTGTGACCATCCATGATGTCGGGAATAATGTCATTGACCCATTCTGGATCCTCCAGATCCCACGTCTTGCGTGTATTGGGCTGATACCGCCCTGGTCCGCCGTTTTCCCACTCGTAGTCCCGCTCTGTCTTTCGGCGCACAAGAGGTGGACCCGCCGCGTCACTCTCCCCCTGCTCCCCTGTCACCGAGGGTGGAACGTAGGCCGGTCGCTCCACGTTGTCCCGCTTTTGCGGCACCGCACAGTAGAGACGGTTTTGAATTGCCTGAAACCGCCCACTGCCTTCCTTCTGCTCGGAGCGGTGAACCAGCAACGTCTCACACGCCAGCGTCTTTAGGTCCCCGACACCCATGTCTGTTAAAGTGCTGGTCGTGATCCATTTCGCGCCGGCCTCTTCAATGGCCTGCATGATAAGCGACTGCTCCTCCGTGGAGACGTCGTCGATGGTGCACACGTCACTCTTATTGAAAACAACAACGACGGGTTTGCCAGTAAAAAGTGGTCCGATGGATTGAAAGAGCGAGAGTTGCTGCGCGATGGAGTATCCACACTGGGTACTAAGATCCATGAAGAACAGAATGCATGCACGAAGGTGCGCCAATGCCGTAATTGCCTGCATCTCAATCACGTTACGCTCCTCAAGCGAGTGATCAAGAATGCCAGGTGTGTCAATGACCTGCCAACTGGTGTACTTGTAGTCGGTGTGACCAACAAATAGGGACTTCGTTGTGAAGGCGTACGGTTGCACCTCGACATCTGCGCGGGTCACCTTGTTCATAAAACTCGACTTCCCCACGTTGGGGAACCCTGTAATAAGCAGCGTTCTGGCGTTTGGATCAATAGACGGCAAACGGGACATGTGCTGTCGCACCTTCTCCAGGTATACCATGGCACTGCTAAGTTTCTTGCAGGCAGTTGCCATGCGTCCCAGTGCGGCGCGCTTCAGCTGCTTGCAGCGATAGAGCGAATCACCGTACTTTAGCAGCCGCACATAATCCCTGCCAATGTTGTCCACCATGTGTCGCACCGCTCCCACCTGACCCAGTGCCACCTTGTAGTGGTCGCGATCGTACAGCACGTGCATAAGGTCGCCGTAGAACGGATGAATGTCATCCATGCGGGGGAACTCTAACAAGACGTGCGTGAGTTTTTCATTAATCGTCTTTTGCGTAAATTTCACTTTACGCATATAAAACTGGCGAATGCGAGAGATGTGGTAGCCCCTGTGCACCACCGTGGGGGTCTTACGCTGCGTCTTGGAGAGCACAATGTCCATGAAGTCCTTGTACGTCGGGACGACGGTCATCGTCTTGAAGTTGTAGATGGTAGACATGGTGCGGCCTCTCCGTACCTGCAGACGCCGAGGCCCGTACCCAACAACGCCACCACTTCGGTTGGTTCCTAGTTACGCTTATTTTGTTAGCAGTGTTTGCCTGCTTACCTATTTATTTATTTTTTTTTTTAGGTGGAGGAGTAGGGAGTACTTTGCTGGTTCTTTTTGAGGCCTGCCGTGTTCCGCCGTTTTCTGTGCTCCAGCCCCGACTGTTCCACGAGGCGAGGGAAGTGCACACAGGCGTTTTTTAGTTTTATTTTCCTCCTCCAAGGCCCGAGATGAGACTCCCGCGACCACCACACCGATGCCTTCTCCCCTGCTCTGAGCCCGCGCTGTCGTGTGGAGGGAGCGAAACGAGCGAAGAGACAGACAACACAGTCGCAAGGAAAACGTGCCGTGGCCCCTCATGGCAACAAGGCAAAACCAGAGACGATAAATTGAAGCGGAGAGAAGGAGAGTGAAGGGAGAAAGCAGACGACAAAATAATAGTAATGAGGGAGTCAGTCACACCCACACACACACACACGAGAGAGAGAGAGAGAGAGAGCTAGATAGATAAATAGATATAGATATAATAGTTGCAAGGGCGAGACAAGGAGAAAGCACGGCAGTGTGTTTGTGGCGCCACGTCGGGTATCCAACTTGTCATCCCCCGCTTTATTTACTCACAACGCGTCAGCCACGCTCACAGTAGTTCTTATTCGCTACCACCCATGGCGGCCTCCATCTATGTCTATGTCTGTAGATATGGAGCTTTGTACAAAGGACTCCTATTGGGAATCGCCCACCGCGGAGATGTCATAGCCGCCCATCCCGTCCATCCTTACTATGTCGTGGTGGAGCACCTTCAGGGCCTCACGATGGGAGACGGTAATCAACGTCACCCCCCGACGCTGCAGCATCGCGTACAAAAGTGGCTCTACGTCCTGCGACACGGCACTGGTGCATTCGTCTAGGAACACAAATGTGGGACAGTGAGACATGGCGCGAACGAGGGCAATGCGTTGCCGCTCGCCTCCGGAGAGAACTTCACCCCACTCCTTCTCGGCATCCAATCCTCCCTCCCGCTCCACAACGCCACTCAAACCGAGTTCTGCGGCCAGATGCAGAAGCATCTCGTCTGTGATTCCGCGGGCCTGCTCCTCACCCTCTACTGCAGGGTATAGCAGCTGAGTACGGAGTGTGCCCGGCGGAAGGTAGGTCCGCTGCGTCAAGAAAACTAGCTCCGGCATGGTGGGTCGCTCCACAGTACCGCACTGCAGCGGCCATAACCCACAGAGCGTCCGCAGGAGAGCTGTCTTACCTGCACCGTTGCATCCTACGATCAGTACGTGGCGTCCGGACTTAAAAGTCGCCGTAAAATCGAGCAATAAAGCTTGATCCGCGGGGGAAATGATAGTGACATCTGTAAACACTATCGCCTCGCTGTTTGGTACCTCGACCACGTGTGAAGAAGCGTCCTCGTCGGCCCGCTGCAGGGCAGCAAGCACGTCTCGCAACTCACCCACACGGTGAGCACTGCCGCATAGTGCGCCAATCTTCAAGTGGAGGGACAACAATTTTCCCATCGCCAAAGAGAGGGGAATGTAGAGCCGCGTGCAACGAACAAAGAGTTCCGTCAGCGCCGCGGTGTCGAGATGGGCCTTCTCCCGGGCAACCACGGCGGCGCAGACGGCGTAGCCAAGGCCAGTCGCGGTATACTTGACCAGTATGTCATTTATAAACGTGCTCCACCACTTTGCCCGTTTTAGTCGCCACTCTAGCCGAATAAATGAATCCAACATTCTTTCGGCATTGACGCCCTCCATCTCCGCGCCACGGTAGAAAGCCACCTCCTCCGCATGTTGAATTAGTTGTGTGTGCAGCAAACGCAAATTACCCTCCTTTTCGCGACTCCGCGCGATCCAATCCGCAAAGTTTGGCAACAGCATACGGAACAAGAGGGCAACAAAGGCGTAGTACACCATCAGTGCGAGCGGTGCACCGTAACCACCAAACCTAGCCAACGCTGTAGACAATATGGCAATATCCATAATCGGCTTTATTGCGGCAGGAAGCAGACCCGACAGCTCGCTGCAGAACCGCTGCACGTCAGTTGTCACGCGATGGGCCGGATTGTCCACGAGGCTCTTTGTTGCCAAATCGTACAGCCTGCACCCTGCAAAGTACTCCTGGTGAAGCGTATTCTGCAACCGTGCACGGAAACGTTGCTCCAAGGTGGCGGTGGTGTAGGCGACACCAACGCCGGTGACGGTCGCGGGGATGGCGTACAAAGCAAAATCGAACAAACCAAAAACAAAGCGGCTAAAATTTTTCTGGACAAGTGCCCTGGTACTGTCCGCAGATATTCGGGAAAACGTGAGCGTTAGCGAGGTACGGAGCGCAACAAGCGAGGTCAGCACGAGCAGCAGGCCAGACTCCAACGAAAAGACGTGGGGAAAGCAGATGCATAGCAGTTCCCCAATGCGACGAAGAAGAGTTTTGTCAAGCTGGACGCTGGGTCGTCTGCGGGGCTCCTTGACCCTTCGAAGCGTCCTCCGCGGGTGGCTGGGGGTGTGGCGCAGCCTTACGCGTTGGTAGATGCCATGCAGCAGCAGCACAGCCAGTGACAGCAGAAGTGTGCGGGAGACTCCTGTCGATGACGCCTCAATTTTTGCGAGGAGTTGTGTCGCAAGCGTCATCACGAAAAATGGACGGCCGCTGCGGTGGGTGTTGTTCGAGCCACGCCGATCCTCCCTCGGTCCGCTGCGCGCGTGGAGGTGGTGTGGGGCGGATGGAGCTGCGCTGACGCCAACGAGACTGCAGGTCACGCAGAGGGAAAGAGAAAAAAAAAAGCGTTAAACGAAAACAACGGCAAGGAAAAAGAAAAAGTACGGAAGGAAGACGGGATAAGAAAGAAGGGAGAGACAAGGAGGACTCTCTCGCGCCGACGGCACCGCCGGTCGGAGGCTCCGGATGTTGTTACTCCAGCCCACGCGGAATTCAGACGCACGCTGGAAGTTTCACGTCGTGCCGGACGCAGCGACAAAACACACACACACACACACGTCCATATATATATATATATATATATATATTAAAAGAGTGCAGGTAGAATGATGACGGAGAGAAGTAAGAATTAAACACATAACTCGTTTTATGCACGCCTCCTACTTTTTCTCTTTTCTTTTTTAGGGTTATGTTTTAGTGTTTTCCTCTCGTCAAGCGCTCCGTCGCGGGCATGAACGTCTCAGATGCATCAAGCACTCATGAAATCAAA